GATGCCTTGGTTCTCTTTGATCCAAAGATGGGACTTGGACACCGTGATCTTCTTTGCTCCTCTTTGGAAAGAAGTAGAAGCAGATGTTTTTGACATACTCAAGAATGGGAAAAGATGTCCTACTTCCCTAAAACTACATAACCATCGTGACACGATCAGGATAGGGAGGGGGAAAAAAAAAGAACAAAGTAACCTGCACCCACAGCTGGACCGTATTGTGAGAGCAGATTTGGGGTCTGGACAGCGTCATTAGGAGATAAACAGAGTTAGCCCGCTCCTGCTCCTCGTAGTGAGTGATTAGATGACTTATGGGCCATCCAGAAAGGAGGGGAAGTGGCTTAAATCAAGATATTAAGGCAGCTCACCTGTGCTCCCTTGTCCAACAGGCCTTGAACCAGCCCGTTAAGCCATGACTTGAGCCATTTTTGAAAGCATCTAGGAAGGTTTCTGAAAGCTTCTTCTAATTCAGTTACAAAGTCACATTCTTGGGACAGACAAGTCCTGGTTTCTGCACTTTCATCTCCTGTTAATAAAGCACAGATAGTAGCTGCCTGTTAACGTGATGTGAGAGTGAAGGGAAGCCTTCAAAAGCTTTTATGCAGGGTGGCTAACCTGCCTCCCATCAGCCCTGCCAATCATCTCCAGGCCTGTGGACCACAATATGGCATCTGGGAAAGAACCTTGGTTTTTTCCCCTCTTCCAATTCTGCCACATCTCCCTGTCCCCTTCCTCCAAATTAAGACAATCTGCTTCCCGATTTCTTCCCATGTTATTCACTTATTCTATTTACTTATTAAATTTGTACATTGCCCATCTCCCTTGCCAGGTGACTCTGGGTGCCTGATGAGTTATAAAACAAGTAAAAAAAATTAAAATATTAAAACTACACAGATTAAAATATTATTAAAAAATGCACTAAAACTGAATCGAAGAATGCTAAGAGATGGATGGGACAAGGATGAGGCTGTCTTAGCCCATCAGCCACCTCCAGCGGTAAGTGCCCCCCTTGTTGTATTAAGTAATGAATTAATATCACTTTAATGTGTGAATTTCATTTTAATGTGTGCCATTGTGTGTACAGGAAAACGACAAGAATTCTTATCTCACCTCGTCCCATCCCATCCCATCTTTCCTTTCCTTTCCTTCTCTTTTCTTTTCCTTTCCTTTCCTTTCCTTCCCTTTCCATCTTACCTTACCTTACCCTATCCTATCTTTTATCTCATCTCATCTCTCTTAATGTTTGTCCATTTGTGATGCCATCCATTCAACAGAGCTTAAATCATCCCCTGCACTCTTTTGGAAAGCATGATGAGCTGTGGTGATGGACTGAAGCAAAGAGATGTCAGTCCCAAACCACTGAGCTTTATAAATGATTTAAATAACCTCATTAGGTTCCAAAGGACACGGGTCTAGGCCAACATTTCTCCTAGGGTGGGTTCCTCCGCCCCCACAATACAACCACATTTATCACTTTACAACTTGTTAATGTCCTACTGCAGGACTTCATCCTCTAGAGGAAACATCTTAAGAACTTCCGCCTGTCCATTGAGATCTTCTTGCCTCTGGGGCCAAAGCAGGGGAATGGGTGCCTCCCTTTTTAATAGCAGGGAGGTGGTTTATTTATTTGTGGGGGGGTTTTTTGGTCAGGGGAGATCATAAAGGTTCCTTGTAAAGGGAGGACTTAAAAAAAAGGGGGGGGGGTGAAATGTTTGTTTACTTTTTTAATGGATGCATAAATTCCAGGGTTACTTTCCCAGCTGATAATCTTTTGCTTTGAGAAGTTGCATCCTTTAGCTGTACTTTCAAGGTACCTGGCTTTGATACGTATTTCTGCTTTCCAATTACTCTTTTTATAAAATGAAAATCAAGCTGTAGGTATATTCATTGACTAATACTCCTTCCTTCCCTTCCATTTGCCTTCCTTTCTTCTCTTCCATCTTCCTTCCTTTTTTTTCCCATTTCCCTCCCTCTCTTCTCTCCATTTCCCTCCCTCCCTTTCCCTTCCATTTTCCTTCCTTCCTTCCTTCCTTCCTTCCTTCCTTCCTTCCTTCCTTCCTTCCTTCCAACAGTTTTTATCCCCAAACATAAAATATCAGTGACTGTTGCCCTCTGCTCCTAAATAAACAATAAAACTAACCGAGTCTTGGTTGTCTACTTGTTTACTCAATAACTGAATATTTAGCACCCGAGTCAATCAGGAACTTTATTTACAACACTCCTGCCTTAAGTCTCCAGTGCTGGCTGGCCATCTGAAAACACACCGAGAAGGAAAGCTTTCCATATCACTAAAAGAATAATCAAATATTGGGGGCGGGAAGGATGAGGAGGGGGTGAAGAATTGAGAGACCAAGTGCAAAGAATTAACAGGGACATGAACATTTTTAAAAAGCAATTGGAAGGAGAAGAAAGAGGGGGGGGGGCTTACATACAGGAGCTTTGTACAAAGGCAAGGGCTATCCAGATAATGGAAGAGAACCGAGAATGGGAGAGATAATTAGGACTGCAAAGTCTGAAGCAATTTTGGAAAAGGGCAGAGACCTTTGATCTTTATATGGAAGGGAGCCTTTTTTCTACCCCTTAAGGTATTTGGGGAGGGGGGGAGGATAACCGACTTCATGAAAAGAAAGGTGGTAGGAGCTGAGGGGTGGGGGCAGAAGACCTTCCCTCTCTTGACAAATCAAGTCACACCTAATTCCGCCTTAGCCTCATTATCTTAACCGGCTGCATATGACTCCAGGGATTTGGCCAAAAGCTTAGGAAGGGGAAGGCGAAGAGTAGACACAATAATTACAACTGCAATTTGCAAAGTTTGAAAAGGGAAAAAAAAATCACCTTTTTGAGGAGTTTTATGGCTCCCCCCCACATATATATTGCACCTATCAGATTCTGACAGGGTTTTGTTGTCCATAAATATCTTATTTTCTTAAAAGGATTAGACTAGGTTAAGATGCGTTTCTCTCTGAACGGATGCTATCAGCTCTTTTATTTGCCCCCTTGAGCTCCCCCCTCCCGTCAAGTAAATTAAAAAAGGGGAGGAAAAAAGCAACCAACCCTCAACACCAGCAACTCCCCCCCCCCAGACTGTAATTCAAATGTCAAGATGGATTGTGTTAGCTGTAACTTCTGGAGAGTGGAGATCAGCTTGTCATTTCCCGAGAAGGCTGGGAACTTCAAAACAAGCTGTGTTTCTGCCTTGTAATGTGTCATGCCTTCTATTAAGACAACATGTGGAATTGTCAGTAGGTAACAGTGTTGAAAGTTGTATTGGCTGCCTTTTGGAGCGGAAGAGGAGAAGTGACTTAACGGCATCTCCCTACTCCTAGTTCTGTGTCCCTTTGTAAGCCTCCAAGAGTGAGGATTCCATTCCTGAATCTATCCCCAAGTTGTGTGTGTGTGTGAGGGGGGGGGGAAACATAGTTTTTTTTTTAAAAAGGAAATAAACTGATGATGTATTGATGATGTTACCTTTATTTGGAAATGAAAGGTCTGCAAGAAAATAACCAAGCTCGGAAGGAAGGAAGGAAGGAAGGAAGGAAGGAAGGAAGGAAGGAAGGAGAGGGAGGGAAGGAAGAAGGGAGGGAGGGAGGGAGGGAGGGAAGGAAGGAAGGAAGGAAGGAAGGAGAGAAGATATTTGATGTTACCTAATTTGGTAATGTAAGCAAGAAAGCAATCAAGGACAGATAGCACCAAGTACCCCACTGTCCCTCCTCCCCACATTCTTTAGCGCTGATGATGCTACCAAGCCATGTCATGAAACATCTCCAAGAAAACAAGCTGAGAGAGCACCAAGGACCCCACATTTCAACCCTGAGCTACACGTATTCTCCTCTGTCAATTGCAACTTATATGCCTTTACGTAATTTAGAGCTGTTTTAATTGCTCCATCAAACATTTCCATCTTTGTCTGAACCATTTTGCTGAAAAAGTTTGTGGGGGCAATTAAACGATCTTGTTTGTAGGTGAACACCTGTCTTTTTCCAAGAATAGGTATGCCCTTAAGATCAAGCTCTGAATTGCAAAATGCATATATACATTGCGCAATCTGAAGGACACCCCTCTTCCTGTTCCTCTGTTGATCCAGTCACTTGCCAAGTCCCACAATACTTGCAGCCATACAAGTTCCCTCCCTCCCTCAGGACAAGTGCGGTTCCTTTGGAGGTTACAAACAGACATAATGTCTCAACCACAGGGATTAATCTCCTTAAACTGGGAGAGAGGAGGAGGAAGAACGAGATTATGGGTGGAGGGAAGAGATCCTTCAGATATAAGAGCTGGTTTTCCAAAAAGAGGTATGGATGGACCATCGTGTATACATTTTCCATCAGCTCCAAAATGTAGGAACTGAGGAACATATTTGGAAGACGCTTGTGATGTGGCCACCAGGGAAGCTGAGGACAGCTCAACTGTAGCCACCAAAAAAAAAAAAAAAAAAAAAAAAAAAAATGAGCTGGTCTCTAGTTTATACATATATACCGATAGAGATAAGAGATAGGTACGATTGATAGATATAATAGGTACGATAGATAGATATAGATAGATATGATAGATACGATAGAGAATATAGATTAGAGACAGAGAAGATACATTAGAGGTAAGTAGGTAGGTAGATAGAGAAGGTACATTAGAGATAGATGGATAGTCTTTTAAAAGTAGGGATGGGTAGAATTTGAAATATAGAGCTTTTTAGATGGCTGTAGATAGATAGATAGATAGATAGATAGATAGATAGATAGATAGATAGATATAGACAGACAGACAGGGATGGATGAAGACAAAAAGAAAAGGAAAGAAAGAAAGAAAGAAAGAAAGAAAGAAAGAAAGAAAGAAAGAGAGAGAGAAACTTCAAGAACTAGGCTGTTGGCTTAGAAGGTGTTTCAGGATTTCCAGAAACACAGAGAGAAGTGTCAAAGTCCTACAATATTTAATATTTTCATTGACATATTCCTAATGAAATGGGAGCAAAAAGACACCCACAGCCTTCAAAGAAAAGAATAAGAGGAACTTGTTAAGTTTTTTTTTATTCAACAAATTATATTAAGAATACAGACTAAGTTCTCAAGACGGGAGCTTCCCTTTGTAAAATACAAAGTAGGCCAATAAAATAAATATGAAAGGGTAATATTAATAGGATTAATGAACATGTTTAATCCACTTTCAATGTCCCATCACAAAGAAAATGCATAGCATCTTTAGGAAAAAAAATTACATTCATACCTACACACTCACACACAAACACAATGTTAAAAAATGCCCAGCTGCTTAACAATATTCTTGTTTTTGAAGCAAATAGCTCAGAAAGAGATGTTTTAATCCATGTGTTTCATAGGATGTTGCACTGTCACTTTTCTTCACCTCAAAGGAACCCCCCATTTATTTCCTAAACAAGATCAACCCCCTTTCGAAATATAATTTCACACAACACTTAATTCACTTCACACACACACACACACACACAAAAATACTCCACAAATTCAACTTATTTTGAACCCATCAGCTATCCTAAATTTGTCTGTGTGTTGCCCCATTAACCACACTCTAAACACCCGTTTTAGAGAGTGTCACAGATTTTTCTGATCTTAATACTTATTTTTTGCTCTGTTTTGGGGGAAGGGGCAGAAATAACACATTTTTCGTTTGTGCAGCTGTGTGTTATGTGTACATTCACACCTATATTCCGTATGTGTGAATATGAAACTGACAAAAGCTGCACAAACAGGCAATCAACTCTCCAAGATCTACAAACCTTTTGTCTCCCCTCAGTGGTGATGTCTGGAATAATAACAGTATACGAGGCGGTTTATTTGTACCCGTTGATATGATGGGGTTGCGTGGAGAAGTCAACAAAAACATCCCCATTGTTACCTGTGATGCACGACTGCTTTGTCCTGGATAAAGTGTATTCCATGAAAGATTACCCTGCTTGGAAAAAAGTTCCTCAGTGTTGGGTTGTCAAAACAACATTACACCACCAGTCTCTACTACGAGGAAGTAGAATTGAACCTGTTTCTCCCTAGGCCAGTGGTAGGCGACCTCGGCTCTTTTATGACTTGTGGACTTCATGAATTCCTGAACCAGCCATGCTGACTGAGGAATTCTAGGAGTTGAAGTCCACAAGTCATAAAAGAGCCAAGGTTGCCTCTCCCTGTCCTAGACATTGATGGCCTTCAACTCCAGCCAATGGCTAAGGACAAGGAGAGTGGACCCAACAGAGGCAAACATGAAAGTCAACAAAAGCCATGAAAAATGCTGACACTTTGTTTAAAGACCAACAACTGCCTTTTAGGGGGCAGAAGGAGACGAGGCTCATTTATAGATAATTTTTCCAGTATTGAGAGAACAAGGATGAGTTCTCTAACCCCATTTCCCGTTGCCTAATTTAGCTTGACACCTACCAATCCTGCTTCCTGCCTTCCACCATTTCTGACTGTAAGCAGAGGCAACGGTCCTGGGTAAAAACGTCCACCTTCCTTTCGTACGGTGGAGAGAAGTGTGAACAAAACCTTTTCTCTGAAGTTGCTTTCAGTTCTGTCTGAGTCTACCAATCTCTGTCTGGAGCTGAGGGGCTCATATCTGCATTCTCTAAAGAGAAATATATGGGAAAGGGGTGGAAACAATGTAAAAAGACTAGAGACTGGCATAAAAGCATCCACAATTATATGTATACGTCTAAATACAGAAATAAATACCTATCTACCAGTACCGTTGGGAGGCCAAATACCACGTAAAAAGAGGGATAACCTTAGTGTGCTTTGTACTTAAGGATTCCTCTGTTAAAAAAAAAAGTTAAATTGCATTCTATCCATTGGATGTAGAAGCAGCATCCAAGAACGGTTGGATGGAAGCTGATAGGAACTTTAGAACTTCACCAGAACTTGATAGAACTTACATTAGCTTGTTTGTCACTGTCTTCTCACCAGATTAAGGGGGGGAGAATTCAAAACCTGCACCAGAATATTGCAATAACAATTGCCCCTTCTGTGTGAGGGGCAATTCTGGTGCAATTGTAGCCTTGAATTCAACGCTGCTTCCTTGGCTCTTAAGAGCATTGAAAAGTAGAAGGTGCCATTTTGGTTTTTAAGTTCTGGTGCATTGGTTAATTGTTTCCCTCGTACAGGAAGCAACCACTCTCCTCTTGAGAGTCCATGCAATGGCTGGTGATGACTTCCTCTGCTTTCTACTTTCAGGGTTCCAAGAAGCCAGGGCGTGAATTCAGTTTCAATTTAACCAGCAGTTCTTCTCCAAAATTTGAGATGGGGAAAATCTCTTTGCTACCCTATTATGGCTCCTGCTTATGGAAGGAAACCAACTAGTGGGATGGGATAATTTGTCAAACATCAGCTAAGCTGGGATCTCTTTTCTGCACAGCCGTTGAGAAGGTAAGAGCTGCAGTAGAGATGGACCATCTCCATCCTTCCAAACATGGCCTGGACGTGCAATTTTGAAGGCAACGGAAGGGAGCAAAAGAAGTCTTGATTGAGGGGCATTAAAAACTCTGTTGACCTGAACTGATTCCGGGATCCGCCTTCACCTAGACATTTTAGCCATCTAAATAATAAACGAACAAGAATGGCTTTCCAAATCAATCTCATTTGATTTGACTTCTTAAATTCAAATCAAAATTTTTCAGCCAGATTCAATTCTCATCCGCTGGCCGTCGTTATTAGCTCTATTTGCATGTTGTTAACTGGAAAACACTTTTCTGTCTTCATCTCAGATCTACCTGTTCTGCTTGAGATGTTTGCCTAACATCTCACTTCAAGATCACAGGCGCAAGATCAAATCACCGTCTTAGTTTACCTTATTGATTTCCCAACTACCTTCAGGAAGTGACTGAAACAGGGTCTTCTCTGTTGGGGCCTCTTACCTATTTAATGCCTTCACAAAAGCCCTCTTTTTTTGGGGGGGGGCAGAGAAAGGCAGTTTGGTGATTGGCAATGGACCATGAGAACTGAAAAGGTTGGCAAAACCAAGAGAGATGATAAAGAAATCAAGACATACACCATGCTTGCTAAGAAGAAGGTAGAAGGGCTGAACAGCTGGCTCGGATTGTGCTGTAAAGCCAGCGTCTGACCATTTGTCCAGTTTTGCTTTTCTTGAAAAATGCAATTTATAAACTTCTGGGCAAGGATTGGGAAGACATATCCATTTTATGCAGTACGACCACCGCTCTTTGCTATGAATAAAACTACTCCAGAACAAAACAAGCTAAACTAACTCCAGGAGCAGCTGAGGTCCAAAACCAGGTCAACTGCATTTTAATACCATTAGAGAAATTACTATTTATTTACATGTGACATGCTGGATCCTTTCTACCTGTTATTTTTGTTTGTTTGTTTGTTTGTTTTAATCAAAGAAATCAATGAAAAGGGGAAGAAGGGATCTGCTCTCCTTTTTGTCTCTACGACACAGTATTTGTTCTCCGGCAGCACAGAAAAAAGCAGCACAGAAGTTCATAAAAGGGTTCCCCAAATAATTGTAAGTTTCAGTGACAAGTTGCACCAAGTTGTATATTCTGGAGTTATTACTCATGGGCTGAAGCTTACATTAGACTGGCCTGTGTTGGTTTCTTCTTCCAAGATCTCCAGAAGAACACATCATGGTTTGTTTCATCTTAAGCAGCCCAGTTAGGCGGACAAGTCTTCCGGTTGCTGAATTGAACTATTTATAACAGAGGGAAGGATGCAAGAAATGTTTTAGAGAGAGCCACTGGAGATTTCGTAGGCCTTCCAGACAAGTATCCGGACTAAACTCTTTCTGCAAAATTTATATCAGATATAAATCACATTTGTTTGTTGTTATTTTTAAAAAAGGCTCAGAAACGAAGTTGCCCATCTTTGAAAAAAGGCCACGTTGATCATCCATTCGGGCAGATGATTCGGAGAAGAGAATTCCAAAAACAGAAGTCCAGTTCAGGCCACGCATTTTAAGCTGCTTCAAACCACAAAGGACGTTGTGAGTTGGATGGTGACAGCAACACTGACGCCAGCGATGAGCTACAGGATGGATCTTCGTAGTGCTAGTCAGCTGAGGAACGCCAGATAAAGCCAGCCAGGTGTTAACAGACAACAGCTAAAAAGGATGTGCTTCTGGGTTAAGAAAAATCTATCCATGGGGTCTACCGGACCACAGGAGAAGACAAAGCTTAAGGTCATGTCCAAAACAAGTCAGTGCCAACGAGCTGGGCATTGAGGAGACTTCCATTCACCTAGGGAACAGATACTCATTTTTGTTAGACGGTTTAGTAGAAGACACTTCAGCCCAGTGGGAACAGCTCTTTGGAGGGAATCAAGGATCGCCCACAAAAACCACAATAAATAAACGTGGACAGACAGAAGCCCCCACAACAGAGGTCTATGTCTCTTCAGTCATAAGAGGGCTGATCCCAGGGGAATCTGCAGGGTTAGGGCCGTTGTCCAAAAGGACTCAAGGAGCTGAGTCAAGATTTGAAAACCAGCAAGTTGGTGTAAAAAAAATTAAAAAAAAGAGGGAAAGAAATGCTATCCAGTTATTTTGTACAAAGGAGGTGTGTGTGCGGGGGGGGGGGGGGAAGTGATGCAAAGGGGAAAAACAAAAAACAAGGCTTTCTGTGTCTTTTGCTGGACAGGTGTCCATTAATACTGCTTGTCAGGGACAGGAGGGATTGGGGGAAAGATTACAAAGCGAGGAGGAGGAGGAGGAGGAGGAGGAGGTCCTGTCGCTTCTCAGTAGTACGTGTGCGTTATACTCCAAGGAGTTGAGAGACTTCACGAGGGCGGATACTGCTGGCATCTGGTGGGGCTGGGAGGGAGTCTGGCTGCAGCGCTCTGCTCTGTCCGGAAGCTGTAGTCATACTGCAGAAGAGAGAGAGAGAGAGAAAAAGCAAGGCGTGAACAATTGGGCAGCCAAGAAAACCTACCAATGCATCATTGAACCCATCCATCCAGAGTTCTCAAATAGTATGATCCCCCATTCTTTGTGGCAGCCCTCCAATATTTGAGGGGCTGCCACAAAGAAGAGGAGGGGGTCATCCTATTCTCCAAAGCGCCTGAAGGCAGGACAAGAAGCAACGGATGGAAACTAATCCAGGAGAGAAGCAACCTAGAACACTAAGGAGGAATTTCCTGAGTGAGAACAATTAACCAGTGGAACAACTTGCCACCAGAAGTTGTGGGTGCTCCAACGGTGGAGGACTTAAGAAGAGACTGGACAGCTATTTGTCTGTAATGGGATAGGGTCTCCTGATTGAGCAAGCGAATAGAAGACCCCCCTCCCTTCCAACTCTGTTATTCTGTTAAATTATCCTACTTTGGACACTCCACCTGTCCGGAGAAGGTCTGATGCTGGGAAAGGTAGAAGGAAAGAGAAGAAGAGGATGAGCAGCAGGAAGGGACTCAGTTATAAGGGTGATAGGTATAACATTGGAAGAGTTGAACATTAGGGACAAAACATCTTGGAGTAATTCTATGTGGCCACTAAGAGTCAGCATTGGCTTGAGGGTGCCCAGTCAATCAATCCAGTAGTTTTATTTGGATAAATAACAATTCCTAGAGAGGCTGGGAAAGAATGATGCTCAGAGAGGACCAAAGACTCCACATTTCAAGGTGGAGATGGAGGTGCTGGAAGAGCTGAAGGTCATTATGGAGAAAATCCACCAAGGTGGTTGCCAAGAGTTGGCACGAACTTGAGGGCACAAGATTACAATAACCTGTAGTCCTGTTCCAGCTCAACGGCACATAATCAACCAACCAACCTATCAATCAATCAGTCAATCAGGTGATTTGCCCACTTGCAAACTTTTCATTAAACCTGAAAAGTCAGTGCAAAGTATATACACGTGGCAATGCTGCCACCTGGTGGCCTAACTGCAGCAGTACACCAATCAAAAATAAAGCATTAGAAGAATCATGCAATAAGTACATTTTAATGTCTCAGAATGATCACCCCAAAAGGGTGAGACGATTGAATGATGCTATCCAGTCTCTTATTATGATTATTATTTTCTGTAACTTAATATGTTAAGCATCAGGGAAGAGTAGAGGGCTGTTCAATTCTATCTTCTCATTTACTCAGATGTACCTTAAACTAAGCAACTATATCTATCATACCTCCAAAATCCTTAATTACAGGTTTTTCTTGCCTTCTTTCTCTCATCTACCTTTACTTTCTTTCCCTTTCGCTGCTAATTTCTCTGTCTTCCCTTCCCTTCCCTTTCCTTCCTTCCTCTCTTCTTCCCCTTCCTTCCCTTCCCCCTTTCCTCCCTTTTTTCCTTTCTCATCCTTCCTGCCCTTCACTTCTCCTTCCTTCCTTCCTTCCTTCCTTCCTTCCTTCCTTCCTTCCTTCCTTCCTTCCTTCCTTCCTTCCTTCCTTCCTTCCTTTCCCCACTTTCTTTCCTTCTCTCTCCCTCTTCCTTTTTTCTTCTTACCTCCCTCCCTCCCTCCCTCCCTCCCTCTTCCCCACACCATTATTTTTTCTCTCCTCCCAATCCAATCCTTGATAAGACCACGGGATGGCACTGTGTGGTCACAAATGACTGCTAAGGATTCTTATTCCCCCTTCCTTATATTGCAAAGGAAAATTATGACTAACACCTAGTTACCCCTGAAACAAAAGAAAGATAGAGGGCAGCAGAAAAGAAGAGACGTGGGCCTTGTTTGCTGCTGAGTTTATCAAGGAAATGAGGGTCCCTTTGCAAAACTGCTTCGCAAAGATACTGTTATGGGGGGGAACGACATGGGCAGCCATTTCCCAGCCCCTTCTCCCCAAGAAATAAAAATCAGGAGTGTTTCTACTAAGCCCTTTGCAAGACCTTTTAAAAATCGACTGAGTGCCCATGTCTTTGTTAATTTCATGCCGACATCACAGAGAAGCCCGTGGCAAGTGCCCAGAGCGAATGGAAACCCCCGCGAGCTATTTTTCAAGCACGCCAAGGCATAAAGATGTCAGCTCAAACTGTTTACTAATTAACACTTAAAAAGACACAAATTAGATATGCGTGGGTAAGAGCAATTACAATCAAGACCAATCTCTTCAGTCATTGGGGGAAAAAAAGGGGGGGGAGATAACCCAAACTCTCAACTCAAAGATATTAAGGGGGGGGGGGGGAACAGAGCATTGGATGCTGAAAATATGCCAGGGGAAGGAAGAAAAAAAAAGCTCACCTCTTTCTCAATTTCAGCCAAAGATTTAATTGTGATTCCCAGGAGGTCAACAGGCTGCATCTGAACAGGGAAAGACAGAATTGTGCCATTCAAATCTTAAGAATTCAATCCAGCCACCATTCCTGTCCCCTGTTGGGATGTTTGGCAGGACTAATGCTTCCATCTTCCCCTCCCAAGTCAGCGAAGTTATGGGAACGGTAGCCCTCTACCAGAAGGCAGTATGACAACCAATGGCAAGGAGATGTGGTCCGCTGCTTGGACACAGGACTAGGGCATCACGGAAGGAGAGCAGGCAGGTGAGGGAAGCATCATCAAGCATCTCATGATAGGTTGGGAGCAAGGAGAAGCATCAGGCCAGCATCTCAGCTTGGGAAGTGAGGAACATCCTAAGAAGTAGATGTTCTTTTCAAGCACGTTCAAGAAGATTCTCTTGAACAAGGAGGGGTGGATGAAGATGGTATGGAGATTTTTTTTAAAAAAAGTGACAGCTGAGGAAGGTTGAGCTCCCCCATCCAAGGTGTTCTACTTGATGGGTTTCCAAAATTTCAATTTTGCAATATTCTGGAGAGCTTTCAGGAAGGCAAGGGACTTGAAGCAGTGGATCAGATCATCCCTGAAGCTATGGATTTTGGAGTATTTGAACTTGAGGTTCTTCAAAGGTTAAGTGCCAGGAGTTTAGTATGGGACTCCAGAGGTCTATGACATGGATAAATGAATACATACAAAAACTCACCCCTTCAGAAGCACAAGCAAACTTCTCTGAGATCATAAAAGGCACGCCTTCCATCGCTGCAAACAAAACACAAAGAACGAAGGTCAAGATAGCTGTGGTGTCTTCTCATCTCTACAGTCCCCAAAAGTGGACTGTAAAGGTATCTTCATTGCCTTGAAAAGGCAGTCCTCAACTTATAACTATTGGATCAGAGACTTCAGGGTCACATGATCAAAGTGGCCATCACCTCTGCCAACATCTGGCCCTCGTCTGCTGAATTAACCCATTCTCTAGGGAGTGTGATGGCTCCAGGCACCTGCCCACATAGCAGTTTGAAAGCATGAAAATGGAGAGTAGATAAATAGGTATCACTTCGGTGTTCTGTGCACCTTTGGCATATAGACATGCTGGTCCTATGACTGTGGGAAATGTCATTGGACAATGATGCCTCTCTTGGACCAAAAACGGAGATGGGCATCTCACCTTAGAGTTGGACACAACTGGACAGCGAAATCTTTACTTAGGTTCATCCACTAAAGCAATGAACTTGGTTGTGAACCAAGTGTAAATATATTCATTAAATTTTATATGACTTTTTCTTCTGTCTCAGCTTGGTCTACCCAACGGGGTTCTAAGGGAGATCAAGTGGAGGAAAAGACCAGGCCACAAAGTCCTAAGTTTCTGCAAGGAACATCTTGATCCTCAAAAAACTGGGGAGCCACCAAGATTGGGAACCAACGCGCAGCAGCTGAAAAGCTGAGCAATCTGTCCAAACGCCTCAACGCTGCCATGTGGGCTCCTCCACAGAGCTGTAATTAAGAAGACCTGTAATTAAGGAGATGCCCTTTTCTCAGAATGATTGCACTTTTTAAAAAATGGCAGAACCACACAATGGAGCCTGTTATTAATGCCAGCGAGATGTGAACACGCGGGCTGCGAGATTCGGCCCCCATCCAGGGCTGTCGCCACGAGATTATTTATAAAACTGGTTCGTGGGGAGCATCTGAGCAGGTGGGCTAGAGAGAAGGAAGACCAGGCAGAGAAGGACGGAGAGATTTAGAGTGATGGAGGTGCCCTCAACCTAAGCAGCTAGCAGAGACGTAATCACGTTCTGCTCCCAAGTTGGATTCCAACTGTGGAATTCCAGGTGTCTACCTTCCCTTGGACAACGATGGGAAGATGTGCCCTTCTCTTCCACCCACAGCTTCTGTCTACCTGAGAAAGTGCCTCATCTCTTAGAACTGCTAGATCAAACTTCCCACAAATGCAAGTCCACATCAGCTCTACTGTGTTTAAAAAGAAAATGCACCAAGATTAGCTCTTTGCGTGAGAGGCCACAATGGCAGGATGATCCCATGCTCAGTCTTAACGTGGTTTAATATAGGCGTATCATGTTATGGTGAAGACCTAACTCTCGGGAAAGTTCTGAAATGGGGAAGGTAGAGGATCACAGTCACAGTGGCCATGGGTGCAACGCTGGAAGACTCAAAGGATCAGGTCAGGAACAGACCCTCCTGAAGAAGGAGGTCTGGCAATATGGTTGCTAAAAGCCAACTTGGCGGCACGTAATCAATTTCTATCCAAGAAAGCCATATAAATTCATAATCCTAAGAAAGACGGATGAAGGAGTAGAGGTCAACAGGCAACAACAGCAACACCACAGTGATGAGTGTACCTGAAAGACCAAGTAAGGGGCAGATCTTCGTGGAGAAAATCCACCTACGTGGTTGCTAAGACTCTACGCTGACTTGACGGTGGCTAATCAATCAAGTTGTGTGAACCCAGTTTTTGTCTTCCCTTGTCAATCTTGACGCTACCTAATCAATCAACCAGGTTTGTGTGAATTCAGCTCCCGCCTTCTCCTGTCAATCTTCCTCTGCCAAACAGCACAGGAGATGAACACAACTTCCTTTCATGAGGGCCAGACACCCTGCATTAAACCCCGACATATGAAGTTACTTCTCGATTCCCCCCTACAGCTCTCTCATAATAAGGTCCTAAATTTAACCTCCCCAATGAATTCTCCTCTGAGCTGTCGGATAAACAGAAGAGAGTCGCACAAGGACCGAGCGTTTGAAACGGAGCAGAAAAAACATTCTTCCCAGCATAATAACTACTTGTTTCTTTGAAAGTGCAAAACAATGGGCGTCAGAAACAAGTGGAAATCTAAGCACTAATTGCCGTTATTCTTTCTTCACAAAGCATCTCCGGGGGGGGGGGGGGCTTATGGAAACGTGTTGCATTGTTCTTTCTGACTCATTGAAATATCAGGTGGTGTCTTCCCATCACTGCCAATAATAGAACGAAAGAACTTTCTAAGGCAAAGGCAAAGAGCACGGCATGATCCAGACAAGTTCTCCAACGGAACAAATGAACAGGGACAGGAGAGGTTTTAAATATGGCTGTCAAGAAGCATTAGGGTCCCTGCCAGGCGCTCGCTGGCAGCTTTCAAGGGGTCACGAAGTGCCTCTCCTGAGCCTCGGGGTGCAGGTCTCATCGTGGGGCCTTGTCCTGATCAATCGGTCTGGTGCTCCGGAAAGGGGCTCCTCCTGAAGGCAGGCTTGGCTAACCATCCCTCATGAGGCCAGTCAAAGTCAGGACGGTCCTTTCGGGGGAGTTGGGAGAGAAATAAAGCAAGAGAGAGGTTTTATTCTCACCCCTCTCCAAAGTTCCTCTCGAAGGGCTGAAAAGGTGGGCCTTGTCCCTTCCAGTCACTGTCGAACCCCTCGCAAGCTTGAAGGTGGACTCACGGTTCTTAGCTTGCTTGTTTTCATTAACATCATCAGTGCTAGAAGGAAGTGGAGTATATGGAGATGAGGAGGAGGAGGAGGACTGTGGGATCCTTGGTGCTCTCTGAGCTTGGTTACTTTCTTGCAGACATTTCATTACCAAACTAGGTAACATCATCAGTGCTACAAGGAAGTGGGATGTGAGGAGGAGGAGGAGGAGGAGATCACCCTTGTTGCTCTCTGAGTGATGGTAGCACTGATGATGTTACCTAGTTTGGTAATGAAACGTCTGCACGAAAACCACCAAACTCAGAGCTGCTGCATATAAACAGGGAGCGAGCCACACTTACTAGCACGGACAAGCAAAGTCAATGGGAGAAACCAGTTTCGGTTAATGGCTGTGTGACTTGTTTAACAGCTGCAGCGATTCGTTTAACGATCATGGCAAAACAAAAACAAAAAAAGGTCGCAAAATGAGGCAGAGTTTTAACAACTGCCCCGCTTAGCAATGGAAACGTTAACTGCATCTGCGGTCTTAAGTCGTAAGATGAGCCCTGGGTAATTCAGTGAACCCAAAGGCTGAGCAAAATCCCAATGCTGGATCGTAACTCGGGGCTAGTGTCCAATCTCGCTTCTCTTCTTCCAACCTGTTTGGTCTGGAATATCTTCAGTGGAGGACTCTCAAGGCCAAACCCTGCAGAACCTGGCCAAGCCATTATTTAGGCGAATAACGAATTGCCCCTGCTCCCGTCAAGTGGTTTGTCACGACAAATTAATGACTTGACAGACTTCCCATGAACTGGCAAACAACGAAACATCCCTCCGCGTCTTTATCGTCGTTTAATTTAAAAATGATCCTGTGTGAAATTATCTCCTCGTGACTGATGGAAGCGTGGAGAAGGGAGACTCAGCAAAGCTGCTTCAGGATCATTGCTTTATTAATGGCGATGTCAGAGAAATGAAAAATGCCAGGGTTGCTGTGGTTAAAGCTTCTAGCTGGGCCACACTGGAGCTCAGAAGCGGCACTGTGCACGGAGACTTTGAGGGCAGCTTCAAGGAGAGGTCCATTGCTTGGCCAAGGGACCACGGAAGGACTTGATGGTCCTCAAGGATGGGAAACAGCTTTCTTTCTTTCTTTCTTTCTTTCTTTCTTTCTTTCTTTCTTTCTTTCTTTCTTTCTTCCTTCCTTCCTTCCTTCCTTCCTTCCTTCCTTCCTTCCTTCCTTCCTCCCTCCCTCTTGTGCCTGGAGACCAGGCCTCCAAATCAAGAGGGTCAAGGGTCTAATAAGAGTTCCCATAGAGTCTCCTAGACCAAGCCCTACTCCCTTACTACACTGATGATGTTACTTTGTTGGGTCATGAAATGTCTGCAAGAAAATAACTCAGCTCAATGTCTATGGGGATTCTCACTCATCCAGGTCATAGCTGTCTCTGACTGGAGAGGCGTCAAAGCCATACTACCCCAGATCCTTGAAGTTGCCCTTCAACAGGTGTGGAGAAACAGGGAAGAGAAGGATGATCTATTCCCTTTTTTTTTTCCTCTTCCTCCTTCCGGGTCTCCTTCTGTCTCTTTCTCTCTCTTGCCCTAAAACTATCATTAGTTTACTAGAAATTTGGGATGCCTAAACAGAAGGACTTGATGGCGGGAAAGTAAAAACGTAGCAAAAGATTTAATCCCCAAGCCTAAGAGAGCTCTTTGATGGATGGCTGGAAGATATGGCGAAGATATACAGCCGTTTATTTTGTGGCTGGGCCCTTGCCATCTGCTGTGTACCAGTGGAACTTGCCTTGGCAGCCTGCTCTAACCAGATTAGCCAAAGTCAAGCTGGCCCTGGGAATCTTCAAATCCAGACGGTCATTCTTCATGACGACTACGCCCGGACAAGTCCTTATGTAGATAAACGCAGAGAGGCAAAGCACCAGGAGAAGCTGAAGGAGAAGGACATGTGGCTATCTTAAAGCAGACATGAGCGCAAGTAAAAGGTGTGGACGGTTGTAGATGAAGCAGCATTCACACAGCCCAGTGTGGGAAGTAGAAAAATACATTAGGAGAGGAATAACAAGAATGCTCTTCTATCTCTGTTCCCCTTTGGTGCAAACCAAAACAGGACTTTGTACAACTTCCAAAACAGAGGTGGGCAACGTGCCGTGCCTTGGTGGCTTCTAATCCTTCTTTGAAACCTTATTGTTACTTAATTTTAGAAGTGAAGCTAAGTCACCGTCACCCAGATCGTTGTTTTAAGATATACCTGGTCTAAAACCACCCAAACTCTGGCCAGATTGCTTTTACTTTAATTTAACGTGTCCTTCTGAATGTGGACTACGAATATTATTTTTAAACAGAGAAGG